CATTACCTTTTTATTGGTAAGTTTTGCTTTAGGACACTGTTGTGGCATTTGACCTGGGGTCAGCCATTGCATTTTTCTTTTCCGGTTATCATAAAGAATCCACTTTTCATCACATGTTACAATTCGATCCAATATTCCTTCATTTCTGTACCGGTTCAACAAGGCAACACAAGTTTCAACACGCGTTTCTTTCTGCAGATCAGTCAAATCATGAGGCACCCATTTTTCGTATTTTTTGATTTTATTGATTTGACGCAAGTGAGTCAATATTGTGGGTAAGGTAACGTTAAACCATGCCGCTAATTCCTGGGTAGTTTGACTAGGATCGGCTTCCACTATCTCTCTTAATTCATCGTTATTCACCTGTGTGGGCGGTCTTCCTCGTGGCTCGTTCTTTAAGTCGAAATTTCCATCACGAAAGCGTTTAAACCAAAATCGCACGGTGCGTTCATTAGTAGACCCTCTCCAAACGCAGCATTGATATTGCGGGCTGTTTCTGCCGCGTTAGTTCCGCGTCGGAACTCATATTCAAAAATCACTCGAATTTTCGCAGTATCCATCTTTCTTGTCTAAATTGAATAACAAAAACAAATTGAAAGTCGATATTCAAATGTTTCAAATTAAAAAAAAAAAATCACAGACACCATTTGAAAAAAGTTTCATTCGAAAACCTCAAACCATGAAGATTCTATGAAAATTCAAAGAACCTATTGCAATAAAACGGCAATTTCATACTTTAACCCCTAATATTAGACAATATCACATACGTTGCTCTGATTCCAAAGTAACTGAAGCACTTTTGTTATTGAGATCGGAAAAATACGACAGTATCGCAAACACCTTATACGTATGTAGTTTACGGTGTATAGCTACTGCAAAAGTGTTGTATTACAATTTTTTATGTGTGTCCTGTGGTACAAACGTTTGTACCTACATATCGATATTGTCGAATAAGTATATCTATCTACCTGAATACGAATAATGTCCATGTAGCTATAGAGTACGAAGCAGCGTGTTCCATTTACTGCATTTACAAAGTATGAGTTTATGGAAAAAAGTATATTCGTTCTATCTATCTACATTTATTGCAAACGCGCTATGGCCTATTTGCTTAATATTGGTCATACGTATGAAAACTAAATGGTATACTCTCGATACGGCGGCGATAATTGGTCAAATTAAAAGTATAACAATAATAATAATAGTATTATAATAAGTAATTAACAATTGTTTGTATTTTATAATGTATTTTCCATGTCAAATAAATACGATTTTATATTATTATTTTATTTTCACTACACTGTCTGAGGATTCTAGCTACGAACAGAATATGCGAAATCTTGCTGTGCTTATCAAGGTAAAATCATTAAAGACAATGCTACGTACATACAAAAAGACTACTTACTGCTTACTGAGTCATCCGATTCCGATATTTATTAGTGATTCGTCCATAACACAAAGAAAATCGATAAATATTACCCATCTTTGAATTTCGGACTATTGTAGTAAAAGATCTCTCAGCGTAATAGCGTCTGGCAGAATAATTTTTAAACAACTTATATACTTATATATATATATATATATATATATATATATATATATATATATATATATAATACTGATGAAATATTACTTAACCTATTTTGCAAAGCGCTCTGCAAAGTGTATAAATCCAGGAGATAGTCTGTGACGGTGTCTGGGCGCTGCTTATATAGATAACAGTTTCTGCAAGGTATCTTTAGAAATTGAACTGCCAGAAGCCTAAGGAACCTCAATAAAGTGATACTAGGTACAATACCCAAAAGAAAACGTTTCCAAAATAACTAGTACATCATGCGTGGATCCAGATCGCTTTAAGCTTCTTCGATTGACTAGTTTCAAAAAGGAATTGCGTAGGTGGCTCTTTGGTCATTTGTTCTACTCAGTTGACGAATTCATGAAATATAAGAACCAATTAATTGATGCATACACTTTTCTTTACAATGATTATTATTTACTTTAAATTATGACACACGCGATTATGACATCTCGTATTAAATCAGTTACTTTAATTTATAAATTTATTGTCTAATTATTCTTTTTTACATTTAGTTTTAATCTATCAGTGTATTATTTGACCATTGTACTTGCATGCTTTTATTTAAAAAGACCGAATAGGTTTAAGTGTTGATTTAATTTTTACCATCAACACAGCATGTATAACAACATGTATAATGTACCCTACCCTATTTGAAGCGAATAAATGAGTTATTATTATTATAATATCTATTTTATTATTATTAATTATTATTATATCTATTTTAGACTCTCGATTAATTTTGAATTTTTAAATGGGAGAGGCGGTATTTCCCGGCAATGGCACAGTCGGCCGTGTCAGGGACTCAGGTCTAAGAACCGGCGAACAATACAATATTATTATTATTGTATTTATTTTAAACTCTCGCCTCTCCCAAGACCTATTATTATTATTGTTAGGACTCTAGGTTATGCGGTAGTTGTATTTCTACAGCTCTTGGATATGCATTGGCTTGTAAATAAACAAGCAATCATTTTCTACCACATTTGTAAATATTCTTTTTTAATTCACGGTGTCCGGGATCTAGGTTTATCATAATCTATTGTTTTTTAAATTGTATATTAGGTTACATGTATATCCTAATGCATAATAATAATATAATCCACTCATGCCTAATGTTATAAGTGCTATTAATGGTTATATACGATTGATTTCGTGCTCAACTGCTTTAAGTAAATCATAATTATTGACTGCTAAAAGTAATCTGTTAGAATAGATATTGGAGTTATCAGGTTCCCCCAAACATGTCATGTACCTGCTTGCCCATCAAAAGCATATTTTAATCCACCTCGTACATAATAGCTTGGGTGAGAAAACTACATATATTACGGTACCGATTACCATGCACTGTCACTGTATCTACAATTACGTCAATATTTGCACTTAGTAAGCTATTTTAAGGCTTCTTTGTACTGGCGTGTGCTGATAATTTCTATGCGTTGTATAACGCTGAAATTACTTTTTAACTGTCCCATTTGTTTTGAACTTTCTTTTCTTGACATTCATAACATACAACGACGACCGCTAGTACTAAAAATAACCCGCAAATGAGTACCTCTCAGAGGTTTCATGTTAATGGAAGCCATTACGAACTCTACATAATATTCAAACCTTTTTGTATTTTAGTTGAGTGCAATATACTTGGTTTCTTAAAAAAACTGACTTCAAAAGTCATTCATCGCCTAGTTTGCCACACATAGAGGTGGAATATTTTCTTCAAATTTAAATGGGACCACTACTAAAGTACCCTCTTTCCAAAAAAAAAAACATCAAAATAGGTTCACAAACGCCGGCCGGAGTTATCGCGTAACATACAAAAAGAAAAAACAGTCGAATTGAGAACCTCGTCCTTTGTTTGAAGTCGGTAAAAATAAAGGTTAAATGCCACTTTTGTACGAATGGGAAAGAATATAATACGTTATGGTTCTACATTACATACTGCAGGAAATCACACTTTGTGTTCCAGTTTCAGTGCGTGACATGTTCGTCGCGTGAGTGTATGAAGCATTTGCGATGGTCATTTATAACTATAGCGCATTGAACTATTTCTATTCAATCACCAATATTTATAATGCAGTTTCATATTTTATTTATGTAGGCATTTGTATAACCATGAGTATCATTTTCAATTGACCTAGCAATGATAGCAGTTATATAAAGACGATGTGACCTCTAAATTTAACACGTTTTTAAGGACGTATTCTCGCTCCAAGTTCGGAATCTTTGAGTTTTGCTATTGAGAAACTTTTTAATAAACCAAAACCTCATTTCATATAATAGCGTCAAACACAAAAATACAAAAAGAAAGTGTTCAGGTTGCATTACTTCTATATGTGCATTATTTCAATCAGTAGGTATTTTTTTATTTCAGGATATCTTTTGTGCAAACTCAATTTGCAAGTTATTCACATTGTACGAATAAATTTATTATTTTAATGAGTTTATTCATGTTAAAATGATCCGTTCTGTAGACTGTTCGGATACTTAACCTTGTAATTAAACTATTCAAGTAATCTAAATTAATTGGTTAAGCGAGACTATTAAAATATCCCCTAATTCAAATACACAATGTTATTACACAAGTTATAGCAAATCTGAAACCTTATATATTGAATGTTAAGTAGTAAACTGAAATGAGGGATAAAATTAGAATGAAATAAATGGGTTAACATTGCAATCGTCTTCCATAAATCTAGAACAGCTCCAAAACTTGGATTTTAATAAATAGTACCCATACAATCTAGTCAATGTGCAGTTACACACGCTAACTGTAGAGGATGACGCTAACATACCTAGTTATTTATTTTCGTCGACGTAATTTTATCGCCGATATTCTTTTCTTTAACTTTAAACTAGTTTTTTCATGCCTTATATCTGGTGTGTCTCAGTATCCAGCTCTGCATTATAAAGTTGTTTTGAAGTTGGACAGGTACCAAATCCGATTATTCCGGCTAGTCGGAGATTAAAAGGCAATATTGCAAACTTATTCATTAAAATTACCGCATATCTGAACTAAAATTATTTGCGTACAAGTCTGACGCCTAACATTGTGATTAAACTATATGGCGCTTATGATAATAGAAAGTCTTGTCAACAGACGCAGCTTTTTTATGGCAAAATTCCATGCATTCACATACACTATTAGGCCGCCATTAAATAAATAATAATAACCTCATAAGTGACAATATTGTTCAGATTATTTCATAATTGAGCTGAAAATAATTAATTTGACCTTCTCGACAGGCTGATGTGAACTAAATCTAAATAGTCTCCTGCTTTAGCGTTTTAAATTAACACAAAAGCAGCTTTGAACTGCATTGAAGTTTCAGTAGTCAATCAGTTAGTGTTGCTGTTAGCCGTGGTAGGTATTGTACCAAGTCTATGTAATAAGCATACATTTCTAATACGGGTTAATTCTTTGCAGCTAACAGCTTGATCAGCGGCGAGGACATAGAACCTCGGTCACCAACGATCATCCGAAGCACATCGGTCCGAAAGGCGCAAAAAGTGAGTTCATCTTCTTTATGTGCTTCAAATAGGACAGCAATAACAAGTATTCCCTGTTTACTGAACTAATATTGGTAAACCTAATTGAAAATTCGTAAAGTAGATTTTGTATTACATATCCTTGAACAAATGAGCGACATGTTATAAATGATATCCGCCTCGAGTTATTACTAACTGTCGCTCATCCTTCGACGATACTAAAATACAACAGACTCAAAGTGAAGAAAGACGACTAGAATTGATAAAGAAAGATTTTTTTTATCAAACTGCAACTTTTAAATTTCATCCTAAATAATAGTTTTTATTTTACGTGGTCTGTAGTTTTTATGAATTATTTATAAGTAGGTGCATTGAGTACGCTTTAAGTAAACTTAAATGACGACTTGCCGTTAGGTGATAAGAACGACATATGTTTCTCTCTTTAATCAATATACATAGTTCTAAAGGTCATTCACAAAATCACGTTACATAAATAGCTTAGGTAAATATCGCAATATTAAATCTTCCGAACCATTAAGCTGTGCATACTTCGCCCTCGTTCTCGTCGATTCTGTCCACTCGACAAATAAAATAAGCTGTGATTACAAATGTCACGTTTGCTGTTAACGGCTCCTGGCATTGTTTCTATAAGGGCAATTAAAATACAGATATTCCTTATAGCGCATTTATGACAAGAACGACATTAAATGAAACAAAACAATAATTTAAGCATTCCCTTCCGTGTATGGTTTCAGCTTCCGTCAAATTGTGATCATAGAATGTATAAGACTATTTTAAGACTTCTGCGATTCCTTTAGGCGTAATACGTTTAAAATAACTAAGGCTATAATTTCTAGACCTCCCAAGTATAAAATGTGCGTAATTTAATTTTATCGAGTAAAATAAATAGATATAAGTAAAAAAGGTCGTCGGGTTGCGATTATCAACTATTTCGGATTTCATCAACTACTGTACTCGTTCAAATATTGGTACCCACAGATACTGGTATTATTTATTCAATCCCAGTGGTTCCGTATTCTTTTGTAAACACAACATTATTTTTGTAACTAAATCAAAGCCTTTTCATTAAAACAAATAACTTTTATTCTACGATTTCACTTAAAAACGGCCGTTCGAGTTTTGAAAAATTGTTTTATAAGTTTTTATTAAGAAATAAAAAAACGAATTTCATAAGCCGTACAATAATAGTTATTTTTCTTATCAAACGCCAAGTGAAGAGGTTTCGAGAGTTAATTAAAAATAACACTGTATATAGTTTGATTATAGTTTCCAATTCAGTTATTATCGTAATGGGTGATAAAAAGTAAAAACGTTTATAGCCTTCGTACACAAATACTTAAATTGTTTCTGAAAATTTGTAATTTACTTTCTGGTACGTGGTGGTAAGCGTTTAAATAAATAAATAACATTATAACAAATACGACGATAAGTTTGGTGCGAGTTTGGAGTCAAGTGCAACTGTACACATTTGGCACTTGTCGTTTGGTTTGAAGTTCAAGGCTAGAGATTGGATCGACGGCACGAGCCTCAACCTCAAACTTTTCAAATCATGAGCACAAAGTTATTTATTTTTATTGGATTTCCTGTGAAGAAAAACATCTGTGAGCTTTATAGCTCGTATTGGCCGAACAAGTTTGATAGATCAATCGAGGTACTTATAACTATTCTGCTAGCACTTTTTAGTGCTCAAAATCAAGCAGGAATACAAGCTGTCAACGCATATACCTCGTTATGCCTTCTTCTTATATTTGTTTGTCTTAAATTTATTTAAAAAAAGCAATGGCTTACATTATTTAAAACATTTGACATTATTAAGATCATATAATGCGTCTGAGGGAAACTTTAGGACTACAGCAGAACATAATTAACCCAAATTTAAACGTTTCTGTCCCGCATTACAATTAAATGTATAATGATAGGCAAGCACTAAATATTCAGTTTAAAATTGTCCCTATTTATCCTAATTTATGGTACTTTAAAGCACATGGTAGTTTACGTAAATTAACCTATTTATTGGCAGGCGCCAGTGGTCGAGGAATGTCCTTTACTGAAAGAGAGTGCAGCCGATATCGACACTGTATCTACGTATCCATCATTTGATTTTCAAGTAAGTATTTTTAAATCTACTTCGTTTGTCAAAATTATATACGACATTTTGTGAAAAAAATGTAATCTAAATAGCTGTAAGCGAATGTTTTTTTTTGTTTTCGACTGTGGTTTAAGTTCTGTATACTCAATATAATTTTAATGTACAATAACACGTAACTGTCGCGAACTCGCTGCTTTTTTATATTCTTTTTCTATTAATAATAATAATAATAATAATAATAATAATAATCCATTTATTTCAGACTTACAATCATCCATAATATTTGTTAGTAACGAAAAATACTTAAGCTAGTGTTAGGTTTAAAATAATAAAATAAAAACCAGCCAATGTCAGGACAACTGGCTACGCATTGGCAGCAGTGTGCAAGCGCATCCACCGCCCCAGCATTGGGGACTCCCATCTTTCCACCAATGTGCTCAGGATGCTGTTCGTACTGAGACGCATACGACGGAGTAGCGATGCACTACGCTTTCGCATGATAGCGTAGAAATCGTCTACATGTTTCTCAGCAAACATGGTCGACGCGCTACAGAAAGGTGGAAGTCGGAACAGCATCCTGAACGCATTGTTATACTGGATGCGCAGTGCTCCGTATGTCCGCCGCGTGTAACTGACCCACAGGCTGCACGTGTAAATAGACTGGCAATATGCTTTAAAAAGCGTTACCTTTACTTCATCTGTACATCGTGCAAACCTGCGAGCCAACATATTGCCACGGACAGCCAGCGCCCTGCGCTCCCTTTCCACATCGGCATTATCGCATAGGTCCTCGGTGACCCAGTGACCCAGATACTTAAATTGTTTTGTCTGCTTTAGAGGAGTGCCGCCTAGATCAATGGAAGGCACTATGGTATACGTTTTAGTACCTGCTTTAAATACCATGCACTCACTCTTCAGCGCATTGTATCTGAGCCCATGAGCCACCGCATAAGACTCACAAATCTTTAGCAGCCTGCGCAGGGCGCCGATAGATGGGCTCAAAAGCACCATGTCATCTGCGTAACATATATGATTAACGCAAACCCCATCAATATAACAACCAATTTTGGTACTTGTGAGCTCACCCATCAGCCCGTCCATGTACAGGTTGAAGAGCCGCGGTGAACTCAAACCCCCCTGCCTAACTCCACACTCCAACCTGTAAACATCCGATTGAGCACCCGCCCACCTCACTGTATTGTTTTGGTGGCTGTACCAGAATTTTAAAATTGCAGTCAACTCGCATGGTGAACCAGTCTCACTCTCCAGCTTGTGCCATAGAGTGTTATATGAAACTAGGTCAAATGCCCTTGACAAGTCCAGATAACACGCGTATACAGGCGTTTTACGGGTAGTATAGTATTGGACAGTCTGCTTGAGACACAGGATAGCGCTTTCTGTGGACAATCCAGGCCGGAAACCGAATTGATTGTCATGTAAGTTAATTACTTTATCCAGGCGTTTATCAAGCAGACTATCCAACACCTTAGCTATCACAGTAGCCAGAGATATGGGCCTGTAGTTAGACAAGTCAGAGGCATCCCCAGTTTTGTTCTTTATTACTGGTACAACCACCGTGTACATAAGATCATCGGGCAAGTAACTATGGCTCAAACATGAGTTGAAAAACATGGCCAACACCCGCGGCAAGTGCTCTCCAGCGTACTTTAGGTGCTCTATGCTGAGCCCGTCGTGACCGGGAGACTTTCCCCTCACCATTTTGTTTATAATGGAATGCACTTCACGGGGCAAGAACCTTACACGTAACTCACCCCTACCACTATTATCTTTTACTATTATCTTTGCTGTTTTTGTTATGCAGTACTATTGTTTGATTGATTGTCAGTGATGTCTCGTGCATTATATGTGTTTCATATAAGTATTTTTGCTCATTTCTGCTTTTTCTCACTCCATTTAACATTCCCATATTGTCCATAGCGTTCACTTCAGTAACCATTCGGTCTACATTGTCAAAATGAAGTGATCGTTCAAGTAAAGCAAAAGGACCAGAAACGGTAGTAAAAATACTTTGAACAAAAAAATTGCAGTTTCAATTAACAGTATACCTTTGTTGGTACGTCAATGGTACAGGCAAACATTTTTTGGACGAAAATTTATATTCAAAGATTTGGTTATAGTCATTATAGTTTTGAATCACTGGAACTATCTAGAAAATTAGTAAATAGGTACTCACTGTTTTTTCATACCGAGACTAGTCTTAAGTGCTCGTATATAGGCAAGCTGTCAAAAAAAATATCTCGAGGGTGTACATGAGAGGATTTGCTATATTTAAGTAGTTACTTGATAGATAAAGGAACTCAAATAATCTTTATATCAAACTCTACTACTCATTCTTAAGCTAGAGTCCCCTAAGAGAATAAATAGGAAACTCTAGGGCTTGCTCTTTGTAAATAAAGACTTGTATACATTTATCATTTACAGCATTGTTTTAAATATGATATATCAAGACAAAAAGCAAGAGGTAAACACTACCATGGATTTTTGTTTTGTCTTTACCTTAAGCGTAGTCGTTCTTTCACTACAGTTTTAAATCTCGTAAATGGCAAATTTTGAACACCACCCGAATCATATAGAATAAATTAAATTAATTTGTGACTTTGTGAAGACGACTGTCAAGAGCTGCCAGTTTATTTTTATTCCTTGTGTTAACGTTACGTTTATCACTATTTTTCACAAAAAAATTACTATTCTTCATAACATAAATTAAATTTTCATAAATGACTTACACTAGCGTAGTGCAAGAATGTTAATATCTTTGAACTTAAAGACACTGTGGGGCCCAAATTTTTAATTGCTCTAGCCGCACGTTTTTGCAGGATTCTATTTAGAGTCTATAACGACTCTAGATAGAATCCTGCGAAAACCTCAAATGGCTTTGGTTGATTCTATGATTCCACATAACACTGAAAGTGTTGAATCAATTACTGGAAAAAATATAAAGTATAATTGAGGATATACACTGATTACTGTACGGTGGGAAAACACGATTCCTTAAAATTTTCACAATAGAATAAAAACACGAACTTACCTCGAAACTTTACAAGAAAACCGCTGTATTGAATATATACTTTACATATACCAATGACTTTTTTAATTTCAAACGAACTAAATAGAATACGTTTAGTATACGATATACATTTTTCAAATTGCTTTGATTTTTTTTAATTATTAGTGGGTTTGCCTTCGCATTTAGCCAATAAAAGGGTTTTGAAAGCAGAAATACAGATTATGGAAGAGGTACGGAATTTGGATGAAAAACGATTGGGAAGGTGGGTAGCTATTGTACATCGGCACACATATTAAAGCTTGATATTATTATTTTCAATAAATAAGGCCAGAATATTGTAAACATCTTTGATGCATAAATATAATAAACTTGTTATGAAGGTGTGACACTGTGGGACATTGATTGCCAGGAGTTCGGATATAAAAGTATCGTGGTCAATGTGGTCAATTGAGGGGCAGGAGAAGAAGATATGATTTAGATCCCCATAGGCCCCGCATGAGCATTCAGGGTCGGGAACAATTTTGAGTTTGAACAGGTCGGCAGGAGTTGTGACGTGACCAAGTCGTAGTCTACAAATAATGGAGGTATTTTTTTTGTTAAATTTCATCTTACTGAACCATGGCTTGGCGAGGGATAAACTCTTGAGTCAAGCGGTAGTGCTTCCCTTTAGAGGCATCTGCCATCCAGCTTCTATTCCATGCCTCGAATAGATATCGCTTCGGTAGGTTTATCTATGCACATATTATAAGCTCTCTATGATGTGATAAACAACAAAACAAACTAAACGGCGGCAAATAAAAACTTTTCTCACGCATGTCACGGTACTGTAGACTAGGCTGTATGTTTTGTATTAGAACTGGCTGAGTAAGTATAGGTTCGTGTTTAGAATTATATAAAAATAAAGTGCATTGTAAAAAAAGAACATCGTGGTAGTTCTAGAAAAAGCTTTGATCTGAATACACGTACTAAAGTTATATTTATTGATTATTTGATTATTTTCCTCGTTTCTTATTGAAATACGCCTCTCGCTACCCTAACCCACGGCTCCGACCCCTACAAATGGTGGAGGCGCCGATTTGAGAGGAATTTTGTACGATTTTATGGAAAAATCTCCAAAGAAAGGAAGAAGAAACATATAAGGTCGTAATTTTGATTTGTATTAGATATTTTATTGTTTTTATCCTCGTGCTAGTGAAACGGGCAAGAAGGAATATGCATCGGGTCGCAGCGCCGATGTTTTCTGGGTTAAACGATGTAGACGAATTTATAAATCAGTTTGAGGCTATCAGCGTAATTAATAATTGGTCAGATGTACAAAAAAAAAAACGTGATTGCAACGTATCTTCTTCAATGGTATAAAACCAATTTTTCTTCATACACGATGTATGATATTATTGCGCAAAAGCTAAAAGAGCTATTCCCATCGCATCAATCGTCAAAAATTAATTTAAATGGTAGTGTTGAAGTTTCTTTCAATTCTGTGACTGACGTCGTGTCGAGAAAAAATAATTGTTGTTCTATTGAGCCAATTCCAGAAAGTTGTAAAAAGTGTTCGTTAAACAGTCGGAATATTTATATTTTGCTAATTTGCTGGAAGCAAATAGAGACCACGTGTTTAAAATGTCAAATACGAAAAAGATAGAATTTAATATTGATAATTCTTGACAGGGGAAAAAGCGGGATGAATTGAATCAATTATTACTAGAATTCCGTGACACATTTTCTTTTGCGCCAGGTGAATTAGGGTACTATAGGCAATCATTGGTTGAAATCAAAACTACTGATGAGGAACCGGTGCATAAATGCCATATCGTGTTTCCCCTAAGCAGAGACAAATCATCCCAGGTCTGTAGTACTAGACTGTAGCCTAGGCTGTATGATTTGTATTAGAACAGACTGAATAAGTGTGGGTTTGTATTTAGAATTATCGATCTGAATACGTGTAGTAAAGTTTTATTTATGATTATTTTCCTCGTTCCTCATTGAAATG